TTTAAAAAAAATTTTTTTTTTCAACGTTTATTTATTTTTGGGACAGAGAGAGACAGAGCATGAACGGGGGAGGGGCAGAGAGAGAGGGAGACACAGAATCGGAAACAGGCTCCAGGCTCTGAGCCATCAGCCCAGACCCTGACGCAGGGCTTGAACTCCCGGACCGCGAGATCGTGACCTGGCTGAAGTCGGACGCTTAACCGACTGCGCCACCCAGGCGCCCCGTCATTTTATTTATTTTTGAGACAGGGAGAGACAGAGCATGAACAGGGGAGGGTCAGAGAGAGGGAGACACAGAATCTGAAACGGGCTCCAGGTTCTGAGCTGTCAGCACAGAGCCCGACGTGGGGCTCGAACTCACGGACTGAGAGATCATGACCTGAGCCGAAGTCGACGGCTTAACCGACTGAGCCGACCCAGGCGCCCCTGGTTTATAATTCTTAATCAATGACTTAATACTTAAAGATGTAGGTGGTATCTTTCTGACTTTTTGAAGAAAGCTCTAAAAGCTAGCTGGTTGTCAGAATACCTATATTTCTTAATCTGCCTATGTTGTAATTTGGAGTTATATATTGTAATGACACACCAGAATGTACACAATTATACTTAATTTGTAAGTTGGCTTCAAAACTGAAAAAGGAAAAATTCCTGGAGTTCTTTAAAGGCACACATAATAGAGTCCATATAGTAATTTCTAGGAAATGTATAAAGATGCTGTGGTCCATTTCAGTCTAGTGTTTATTGTACTATGTAATATATATTTATGATTTGCAAGTTTGTTATTCAAGCAGATAATAATAAATGGACACAAAATTCATGTTCTTAATAAGCCTTTTTTTGTCAAACATGTTAAAAACGGATTTCAATATATATTAGCAATTTTATAAGTTTAAGAAATTTATAACATCCTATACTTCTTGAAAAGCTTGTGAATATGAGATATAAGGGGAACCCAACACACTTGGAACTTAGTAACTACTTTTGGAATTTTTGATAAAGTCTCAATCTCATGTTTCTCATCTGAATCATTAGCTAAATCTACTTCATTGAGTTATTGGAGGACTTATGTTGTAAAAGGACATTGTAAAAAGAAACTTGTTATCCAGATGTAAAGAATCATTAATACACTCACTGTCCTGATCCAGAATCTCCCATAGCTTCTGGATGACTTTATCTTCTTCCAGAAGGAATTCACTTTTGCTTCTAACAGGCAGTATATAATGGCATGCAAGATCTTCTTAGTCCAATTAGGGATTAAGCTAATTTGAAGCTGAACTTCAGTCTTTGTGAGGGCTGGTCTATTTCCGGTTCACTCTACTCCCAGGGTGCAGTGCTTTAGGGATCCCAAAGGAAAGCTATGGGTGTGTACGAGGGCTTCTCTTTGGGGACCCTGGATGCCTACTTTTGTCCCCTCCTCCTGTCATTCTCCTCACCCCTATAAGATTGCTGAAAGTACTGTTCAGCTTCTCAGCTTCTCAGCTGCAGCTTTTAGCCCAGTTTCTTAGCCTCCAAGTCACT